TTTTTTATTTTTTATCATTCTAATTATCTTTTTTCAAAAAAAAAAAAAAAAAAGGGGTTGTAGGGATTAAAAATCCCTACAACTGTACAACCCCCTTTTTTTTTTTACCCATTATTTAATTCAGGAAAAATATGGTAAATTTGCGTCTGCGGTGCGGATCAGTTCGGCCGCGGCCGTGGCTATATATACGACCGCCATCCGAGCTGGACTCCGCGGACGCATCCGCGGTTGTTTCATAGATTACATCTGTAAATGAAAGCCTAAGTGCGATTATTTGAAGGGTCGGCTAATTGGAATTCTTCATAATCCTAGGAAGATTGGAAACTTTTATGGATGGGGTATCAGGTCACTTCTTAGGTTGTACAATGCGGTCAAGGAGTTTTCTCGTAAGTGAACGTGTAAATACTTCCGACGGTTGATCTCCAGAATTTTTTGGGACCGTTTCGATATATGTATCGGAGCGGATCTTGTGCTTCGTGTAAAGTACGATGAACGTATTAGACTATCGGAATTACGCAAGGTTGTTAATGACAGTTTGATGTTGTGTGATTTTCCCTCGTGTTACTTGCAGCGTGCACGGAAGAAGATCCGCATCGTTTGGGTAAAAAACCCAACGATTGCAGAAATAGTGCATAACCATTGCAATTCCGTGAATAGGAGTGTACTTACCTTCAATTGTGCAGACTTGCCTTATCCACGTGAGGAAGGGCACGTCCGTTTTCACTTAAGTGAACTCGAAGATATACACTCACTGCCTATGTATCTTTTGAACGCAGAACGGGGGAATTAAACTCCCGTTGAATTCCGTTAAACTCCAAAAAATCCCGTTGAACTCGTATTAAACGCGGAAATGGGCTGCTCCCGCGCTTTTCGAAAAAACGGAATTGATGCGCGGGGTCCGGAACACGTGGCCCTAGGCAAAAAAAAAATAATAATAATAATAAAAAAAAAAATCCCCCCAACCCTTGAAGCACCTCCCATCCGCCCCCACATCCCCCAACCCCCAATGCCCCAGTTATGTGTGGGTAGGTGTGCTATGTGTGCGCGTATCTGTGTATGTGTATGCCTGCGTGAGAGTGTGTCTGTACATGAATATGAATGTATGCGCGTATCACGGCGTGTGTTTGTGTATGTGTGTGTTTGTAAGTGTGTGTGTATGTGTGTCTATGCTTGTAATTGTATGTGTGTGTTTGTAAGTGTGTGTGTGTATGTA